TGATTTATTTGGTTCTTTGTGCTTTTGAGTTTTATTCTGATTGTCTTGTTGTCTTTGTCTACATTCGGCGATACTGTGTCCGTATCGTCGGCAGTAATTACACCATTTTTTGAAAGATGGTTTGCCTTTAAAATTTGGGTTATTTTCATAGATGTTTAGTATTTCAGTGATTTTTTCAATCAGGTCTGTGTCTGAGTCTTGTATATTATTTATATGTGTAGTATTTGTTTCAATTCGATTAACATATTGTAGTTTTAGATTTTCTGTTTCTTCGAGTTTCATTGTGATTTCTGCTTGTTCTAATTTATCTACTAATTTTCTAAAATCTAAATCTGGTTCTCGAATTGAGGAAGGATGAGATGCTCTCTTTTTTATAGCTATTTTCCTTAATTGAGGTGTTAGGGTCATCATTAAAATTTCTGTCATTTTTGTGTTTTTGTAATCATGTGTATTGAGTGAATATGCTTTTCGTTCTAGTGTTTCGATACGTACTGCTAATTGTTTAATTGTTTCATGTGGTAATCTGCGTATTTCGTTGCATAAAACTCTTTGATGTTGTTTGTTTCTTTCAGAATTAAACATTTTTGAAAATTCTTGTGTAAATCTTTTCCAATCTGATTTTATTTCTATGGGTAATACTGAAAATCATTTTTTGAGCTGCTCCATCAAGTGTTGTTTATATTAACGCTGTGCGTCTATGTATCCAATTTTGATGGAGTAGTGTAACAATTGGTTCGGGTCCTATATTTAAAATTAAATTTGCTGTTACTGCATTTAAATAATCTTCTACAGAATATTCAGGGTCTATTCCTGTGAATACCCTTAATGGTTTATTCGATGTTATTGACGATCCACCCATGAGGTATAGATTCATAGTCATCTGTAGTGATTCTGCGGCATTTGGCATTTGTGAAAAGTTTGAAAGTTGATTTTTTGTTATTTCGTGTTGCTGGAGGTAATATGGAAGCGGTATTTCATTTTGCATTTGAGTTGGTTGATAAGAATGCATAGTCATTGGTTTTTGTGGCTGTATTGGTTGAAAATATTGTGTGTTAAATGGGTTTTGTACATGCATTTGTTGTGGATTTTGTATATCTGTTGGATTTTGTAGGTAAATTTTTATATTTTGAGATGGTTGAGACTGTCGCGGTCTTCGTGTGCGATATTCTTTAGTATATGGTGCAAAAATATCTGGTTGATAGTAATCATCATCATCAGATGATAGGTAATTTGTGTTATAAGGTGTTTGTTGTTTATTTTTGTTTTGTTGAAAAAATGGGTAGTTTTCATTATAATCCTGTTGAGGGTGTGGATTATCTGGAAAATTTACTGAATTGATCGATGTATTTGGGAGATTCCAATAATGGGAACATACGTGATTTAAATTTTGCGTATTTTTTCGGGGGGGTTTATTTGTTTTTTGTTGGGGTGCATAATTATAATTGTGTTCTGCAAAATTGTTTCTTGTGAACGTTTTTCGTGTTTTTGACGGTTTTGTCATTGGTCTATACGTCTGATAGTCGATATGTGAGTGTTTTGGAGCAACCGAAAGTTTAACGGTCGATTGTAAGGTTACCTGTGTTAGTGATGTATTCGGAATTTTTGGTGTTGTGAGGTTTGGACGTATTGGTGAAATACTTTTTTGTGTAGTTGTTACTGTTGTTTTGACTACTTCTTCATTTATGAAGTGTGATGGTGTTTGAATATCTTGCTGCGTAAGATTTCTAGTTCCATTGAGATTTTCATTATGTATGACTGTTGAATTTAAGCTGTTATTTTGTGTATCACGTAAAAATGTATTATAATTTAATGGTGTTGCGTCAATCGTTAATGGTATTACTTTTATATAATCTCTGTGAAAAGATTTTGTACTTATCGCTTGACTCGAGATATCTTGTGGAATATTTATAAAAACTGGATGAGACCATTCAGGGTCCCAAACGTAATCTGATTGTTCTGCAATGACAGTGTCGTCATTGGTACTTTGGGGTCTGAAAATTTTTCTTGCTTGTGAAATTAAATCTAGGTTGTGGGAAAAATAATCTATTATAAACCATGCTAAATTTTTTTGCAAATCATGTTTAGTGTTTTGTGAGACATCATTATTGGTGAAATTTTTGCGGATTATATGTAAAAATGTTGAAAATTTTGTGATTTCTTTTCTCACTTTTGTATGTTTGGATGTTTCGGTTGGTGACGTGCTTTGAACTTCTGTTTTTTCTAATATAGATATACAACTATATATTATTGCAAAAACTTCGTTAGTGAATATGGAGTTTGCTCTTTGTGAATTATGATTTGTATGCTTTTGATATATTCTATGAATACTTTTGAAAATTCTAAATCTATATCGTCTGTTTGAATTAAATATTTGTTATGAGCTGTTCGTGGTGTGCTGAATTCTATGGTGTAGATTCCGTATTGTTGTGTTAGGTTACATATGTCTTTCAGATAATGTTCTATAATTTGTCTTTTAATTTTTACATCCGGGAATTCTGCTTTGCATGGACTGATTCCTGGTTCAAACAAATTTACGAGTAAGTTTTTACAAAATCGTGTTTGTCCTCTATCATGGAGTGAATCTATAAGAAAGGGAAAAACTGCTTCTTCATCTGGACTTTCGTCACTTCGAGTGTGGCTCATTTTTTCGTTTGATGACTGTTAATAGATAATTATCAATATGTCTAATTGGTTGATTCCAATTATAAAGGTGTACTGGTTTGTGTTTATATTGCTTTTTGATTCTTCTTTTTCCTCTTTTTGATGAGTTTGAAGTTGTTTCTGAATCGGAAAAATATAATTGGTCATGAATGGGGCAATTTTTATTTACTGATTCCTTTAATTTGTATAGTTCGTCTAAACTGCTGGCTTCTGATTCGGAAAATGCGTTTCTATTTTTTGAAAATCTTTTTCGGGTGATTTGTCTTTGTTTGCTTATAATTTTTCTTTTTATTGTTTGTCGTTTTGTTCGAATGTATCCAACTGTTTGTGTATGTGGGATTATTACAAGATCGTTTTTTTGGTTGTCGATTTCACAATTGTGTAAAACGATTGTTTGTTTAATTCCTAAATTTTTGATTGACATAAGGTTTAGGATGAGGGATGCAAGAAGTTATTAGTGATTTTAATTTCCTTTAATTTAATTTTAACCAAGGTCTTTTTGTTCAGGGTTGGAGAGAAAAGTATATCGATTCCGGAGAATCATTTTTTTTCTCGTGGCTAGTCAAAGTTAAGGTGTTAACTTACTTAATCTTACTTAGGGGTAGTGATTGTGTTCAAGAGTTGGAGAATAGTAAATCGATCCACAAGGTTCAGGTATAATTAGAACGCAAGTAGTTCGTTAGATACTATTTTAAACTTACTAAGTCTAAGATCTATCCTGGGTCTGGTAAGAGTAGGGTTCAAGTTAAGGATGAATAACCGAAGTTCTTCACTGTTTAGCCTAACTTGAATGGTTAGTGTTATTAAAAATTTCCATTAGTCCTGGGTCTTTTGAAAAGGTTGGGTAGTGAATCGACGTTTGAGGTCGTTAGACACTTGATAAGTGGGTGGGGGAGAACAAAAGTGTTCTTTTTGATCCAAGGATAAGCCTTGATGATCAGAATTAAAAATTAATGAGATAGAAATTTTATTAAGATCCAAGGATAAGCCTTGATGATCTGGTTTAAAATTAAGTAAATTGAAGTTTAAAATGGTTTAAATTTATTTGATATAAAGTTTTAGTTTTTTTGATTTTAGTTACCTTATGATTGCTGTTATGTTTAGGTGATGAAGCTAGAACAACAGGATGATTTATATATACTAACAATTTATTGTCATGCTACTAATTTTTATTTTTATTTTCAATAAATATTTTTCAAATAAATATGATTTATATAATACTGCAGAAGTTGAGAAAACGACTGGAGATCTTTTTATCAATCGTTATGGTACATTAGTAATTTATTTAGCACCTGAAATAATCATGAAGGTTTACTTCAAAATTTTATGTTTGCAAATGAAAATCTAAATTCATTGCTAATAAGATTCTAAATATAAAAGTTTGTGTTGGCTTTTGCCGTACAACCATGAAACTAAATAGTAAGTTTCTATGTAGTCGTATGTCGTCTCTCGTCCGAGGTCTTTTTCCAATACCGGGTAGTTCTAGTATTATGCGGAATAACGGCTCTGATCTATTGAGTCGTAGAGACATTTCAATTAAGTTATTATCATATAACATTTTGAAAAGGTTTTGTCTATTTTCTAATCTATATTTGGTTAATTCTAAGCTATTAAGGTCTTATTCGAGACTTATGGTCGCACCAGATGGGTTAGGTCCTTGAGGTTAACTCATAGAGTAATTTCGGATAGGGTACACCGTCTGCTCGTCACGCTATCTTATTTTCGGCCGGATAGATTCGTGCAACTTCTTAGTCTAATACCGATCCTACTCTTACTCTTATATCTACTAGTCTCAGGGTGTTTAACTAGTCTCTGCTAGGCTCAATAGATCTAGAGTATACTGGCTTATTGCGGCGGCTGAATTTCTCTTGGAGAGGCAACTAATTTCTAAGTTAAATTCAAATCTCTCTGGTGCTGAAATTACAGGTAATTTCAGCACTTACAAATAAGTGGGTTGTTAGTTGGATGGATTATGATTGGTTAATATTAAATATTTTACAGTGGTAAAATATCTAATTTATCCAATAATAAAATGTAGTTTAGATCAGATTCCACATTTTTGCTTCTTTTTTTATCCTTAGATTTTTTATCCTGCGTGGAAAGTTAGTTAACCTTGTAAACTAGCCGGTGGGACTTTAATGGGAAACGACTATTGTTCAAATACATTCAATGCAAAACATTTTTGAAATTATTTTTGTCATAATCTACGAATCTGAACGAAGAGCATTTTCAGAAAATAATGCTCATTTGATGTTCGAACTTAAAACGAATTTTAAGTTCGAACAATGGCGGTGTGTCATAAACTTTTAACTAATCTGAGGAAATCGTGCTCATTTCAGGCATGTGGCCTTGTAGTGATTGCATCAACCGTCTACTCGCTCGGAGGTTGGGAGCAGCTGCGGGAAGTAGATTTCTTCCCCAATAACTTCTCCTCCATCTCCTACAGGACCAGTGTGCTCCTCTTCCTGTCGGGTCTCCTTCTATCACTTCTGGGGGGATTAGGATGTTTCGGATCTTGCAACGACAGTCCACATGTATTCTATTCGGTATGTGTTCACTCATATTAAATCAATTTTCATTTTTACACTAGCAAAGCTTGTGTTATAGTATGAACTATCTTTTTTCCAACCTGAGTCGCAAATGGGGTTTAGGAACTTAAACGACAAGCAAATTAGACGACCAGAAAATAACGGAATTTAGACAAGAAAAAGCGTTTTTTATGTTCTGGGTCGGTTGCGGAAATCTTAACTCCCGGACAAAAAATCCGTTGGCTGCACAGGGTTTTCAGACGCGGACAAATTCTGATACCGTATCTTGGTCGCGACGGTCGAAAATTAGTTGCGCACTGAGTCTGGAAATAGCGTATTGCGGTCGCGATGGTCGAAAAATACGTCGCCGCATGGTCAAAAAAAATTTACGGAAGTCGGAAAATTAATCGCAGCATGGTCGGAAAAAAAGTCGCGGCAGTCGAAAAATTAGTCGCGGCAGTCGAAAAATTAGTCGCGGCATGGTTGAAAAATTAGTCGCGGTATGCTTGAAAAATTAGTCGCGGCAGACATAAAAGTGTTCGCGGTTGTCGAAAAATTGGTCGCGGTGGTCAAAAAGTTATTCCCGGCCTAGTCGAAAACTTTCTTGGCACGGTCGAAAACTTAGTTGCGGCGGTCGAAAACTTAGTCGCGGCATGTTTGAAAAATTAGTTACGGCTGTCGAAAATTTAGTCCTTTCATGGCTGAAAAATTAGTCGCGTCCTGGTCGAAAAGTTTGTAGCGGCATTATAAAAAAAATTAGCTATCGGAAAATTAGCGGACCTCAAAATTTAAAGATTAGTCATCAAATAAACAGAAACATTAGAAGACAAACAGCAAGCGTTTACTTTAAACCTAAAGCTATTTTGCTTTCATTTAATTTTCATCGGGTATTTTGCTTGCAAAGCTGTAAAACAAATCCAAATAGCATAAAAATCCAATATATATATATATGTATTTTTAATTTGGAGTTAGCTAGACCAGCGTATTTTCTGATCATTGACAGTATCGCCACGAGAAACCCTTTTAATGGAAACTCAATATCAACTATAAGCATTTTTTGGGGCTATGAAAAAATAGCAACCAAACTCGAAACGCTAAAAAAACAATCGATTCAAATAAACGATATTTCGAGTAACTAATCATTATTAAAAAACAAATAAACGGAACGACAAACAGCAAGCACTAACTTTGGAGCTAAAGTTGTGTTGATTTTATTTAAAGCCGCTCCCCCTCAGCTTGAGTGCATACTCGCACTGAGAAATCGCGTGGAATTCAATTGTTATAGAAATTTATTGCTTTCCAATCTCAATTTCCTAAGTTGCCCAGGCTAGCGAGCATCATCGTTTAAAATTTGTTTTAGAAACCTCATATTAAAAAAATTCTACCACAAAACACCAGCGGATTTGGGGGAGGGGGGGGGGGGGGTTGGACATCCCTTTTTTTTTACTAATTTGAGGTTTTAATTTTTGGCTCACGGACACTAACTTTTTTCAATGGGCGCCTTCGGCGCCAATTTTTACTATTTTTGAAGGGGAAGCAAGCGCGCCAAAAATACGCAATTTTTTGGTCTTCATTTTCCAAAAAGTGTCTAAAATGCCTTTTTGTCCTGTTTTTTTTCAAAATTTTGCTTGCGGCGCAGACAATTTTGTCATAATAGGTTTTTGTTAGTGATTGGTAAGAGCTCAGAAAAAAATTTGGTCTGCATAAAAAGGTTGAGAAATGTAGAAAATTGTTTTGATAATGCGCCCCCTCGAGAGTATTCTAAATCCGCCCCTGTCACGACAAAACAATTCCATAAAGATTCATATTAGCTGAAAGATTCCCGCAGTAGTTCAAAAAATCTCTTTTCTAAATAAATCATGGAACTTAAACAATGTGCTGATATATTGGTAGCTAAACAACTAAAAATGTTGCGCCTCATGATTTAAATCTAATCAAGAAGAAATGAAAAAACAAGAACGCTATAAGTTCGAATTGATTTAAAAAGTATTAAAATTAAAACCATTTTCCCATTTTCAGCATAAATAAACGTCTACGAAAGACATAAAAGACTGCTCGTATCAGGGCAAAGCCTTGAATGTTCTGACTGCTCTTTAATTGATCTCGAATAACTTTTGGTAAAAAAAATATTGGCAACACTAAGAATATTCGGCTGATAGTATCAAATTAAAATTGTTAAAATTTGAGTCGTTTCATGGAATTAGTAAAACCAATTAGCTGCATCAATTCAATGTGAAACGATTTGGTAGAGCGAGATACTTCGCAATGTGTAAAGTATAAAACTAGCTCTTATACATACTCATAGCAAGTTGAAATAGCGGTGTATGCACCCGGCTGAAGAGATTGATCCGCGATTGAGCAAAGTTTTATAAAATTCGTCTGATTAAGAAAACCACCCGAGCATATATATTCCAAAATTCGGCCGCGAAAGTCTGGACATGGGTCGCAAGAGTCTGGCCACAGACTTTCCAGACTTTTACAACTTTAATTCCAGACTTATGCCATAAGATTCTTCAACTTAGTTGAACGAGTCCTGCGGTAGGTGAAAAACATTCGGTTAAAATCAATTGAAATGGATTTTTTTGTGCATAGCAAATAAATTAGAAACTGGGATAAAAACAGTCAAATATAATCGGTTTTAACTGTATAGAAAATAGATGGATTAATAATAGATTAAAATCGCATAAAATGTATTATAATGATTATTATTTGTTTTGAAAGAGAGAGAGAGAGAGAGAGAGAGAGAGAGAGAGAGACAGAGAGAGAGTTTTGTTACGATTAATAATTAATTAAAATAGATGTTGTCTCAAGTAAAAAGTATGATTGGTCTTAAAATCATAATATAAACAGTTATTCACGCTGAAAACTGGATGTGGGTCGTATTTTAAATCAAAATTTTTGGGAAACATGTTACAAGACGTGTTCAAGACGCCATCAGCTCATTTTTCTCCAGAAACGAAAAATTTAAATGGTCGGTACAACAAAATTTAAGCTAAAGCTTCGTCCAGCTACGTCGTTTCAATAGTGTCACACGGATCTTGTGTCTAGAGACACAGTTAACCGAGCTAAAGGTAGAATAAAAAATTTACAAGAGAAAGTTGAAAATGGATACTATCTAATGCATTTTGGCAGTACAAAGAGAGAGTTTTTTAGGAATTACTATCCCTCTCTGTCTATCATAAATTACACGACAATATTTAATGACCCGATTAACACAAAAAACGCCACACAATTGGAAACGAACAAGTTTTTAGGCGAAAACATCTATCTTGATAAATTATTTGAAACAATCAAAACGGAATGATTTGGTTGTATTTTGAAAATTTATTATAATCGACCATTTTCCTCTAATAAAAATCAAGTGCGAGTTTTGGCGCCAAAAGCATTTTTTCAAAAAAATTAGCGTTCATCAGTCAAAAAAGATGTCGATTAGAGGACAGCACTCAATTCTTCGATGTTTATCAATTGATCGTCCGCTTTAGGGAAAATATTTATTGCATGCTTCCGTAGAAGGGCAGTTAAATTGATTTCTACTCAGTCGTGATGTCTAAAATTGATCTATTTTCAGTACTCGGCTGTTTTGGTTGTTCTTTTCGCCGTGGAAGCAGGAGCTCTCTTTTACCTCAACAACGACTATAATAGAGTAAGCCAGTTAACAGTATGTAACATAGCAGACAGATCAAAAATCTGATATGAAAATTGTTAACTCAACAGAAGTAATTAAATAGTTTCCTCGTTCGAGTTTGTCTAAAACGGTTTTTAGGACAACAAATCAGCAAGAAAAAATTGATCTGGGTTTTTAAGAAAGCCTGAAATTTTGCCTTTTTTGAATTTTTCAAATCCTCAAGAAATAGTAATTTTTTTATATTAACGCCAAGTCAATGGCGCTACTACAAACTTTTTGAGGCTGGTCGGATAATAGAGTAAAATAATGTCAAAGGGCGAATTCTTTGGGCATTCATTTTGCCAATTTCTATCACCTTCCACTTTTGCCCCAAAATCATTCTTTCATGAGCAGTCACCGAGTCAAGATTTTCTTCTGACCATAAATGAACCAATTTTTCTTGGCAATGTTCTTGGCTGGTGAGGGGCCAAATTTCAGGGGAGAGGTTCAGGGGAGAGGTTTAGAGTTGGGTTGTTTATGCTATCACGCAAAATAAGAAACCACTAAAAAACAACTAAACCGTTTTAAAACAAAAAAGTCATACTAAAATTTTAACAGTCGTAATGAAGATTGATTTTCAAAAACACTATTTCGAAATTGGTGAGAAAATTTCAAGACAAGCCGTGACAGCTGTTTTTGCTTTTTTCAGAAAAAAAATTGTGCAGGACCGTTCAGTGCTGTTGGTATAAAATGTTTCAGTACTACGCGCCAACATTACGAGTTAAAAAACATTCAAAAAAGGATGTCTTGAGAGAGGGTTTTTTTTTGTTTCAGTCTTCCGAGGTGATGTCGATGGTTTTGGACAACAATTTGAGGGCTTACTTTGAGGACAAACCAACAAAAGAAAGTTGGGGACTTTATACAAAACAAGGTATACATTTTTTTTATAATACGCAAAACAAAAAAGCTCGCTAATAACCTACACAAATGTTTAGAACAAAACGCCAATACTGTAGGGACAATACTATTTATGTTGTTAATAATATGCTTGGGTTGACAAAAAATT